TCTACAGGGTGTTAGGTAAATGGGTATATGAGCCGACACTAGCCCATGTTAACTTGGTCATATAAATGGTATGGTGAAGTCAGAAATTTGATATCATCATTTTAATTTTTTTAATTTTCATACAAAATAAATTTTATAAAATCTGATTTGTATGAAAATTAAAATAATTAAAATGGAGATATCAATTTTCTGTGTTCACCATACCATTTATATGCCCATGTTAACATGGGCTAGTGTCGGCTCATATACCCATTTACCTAACACCCTGTATAGTCCTGAAGGAAACGTTTATTTTTCTGATACTGCAAATTCTCATGCACATAAATCTTAGGGCAATGACTTTAGAGAATTAAATCCCAAAAAAGTATACGTGCGTGTCCCCGACTTCCCAAACCAATTTCCCCATTATGCCCTTACAATCGATTACAGAATTAATTTCCTATGGTTTGTTTATCGGGGAATAAACACGGCTTGCCTGTGCGCCTGCGCATCACGCACAAAAATGGCGGGCCATGTCGCGCCGCGGGGCGCCGTATGCATTGTGGCCACCGGGACGAACGCGATGCACAGGGCTGACCTCTTCTTTACAGAGACCCTACGAGTCATTTACTTAATGTAGGATCATGAGGTGTAGAAGAGTCAGGCTAACACTTTTCGCCAGAGAAAAAGATGTTAAGTATTTCCCGGAAAATTCTCAACCGCCCATGTGGTCTAGTGGTAAGACCACCTGCTTCAGACGCAGAGGTCCCGGGTTCGATTCCCAGTGGGGGCAGATTTTTCTGTTCGGTTTGATTGGTGGTAAGCCCTACCACTACTGTTCTAAGTCCTCCTGGCTAGCTATCACCATCTTACCTAAGGCTGTCGCTATAACAACTATGTTAACAGTATTGTTGTGTTCCGGCAGTTAGAGGTAAGATAGCCAGTTCCTCTGTGGTTGAGGATCCGGGTGAAGCCTTCGGTCTGATCATCACTTACCAACAGGTGAGATACAGGCCGAGAGCTTGCTCGTTGTGGATAAAAAAATGCTTTACATGCTTTCATTTGACTTCAGGCATCACTTCACTCCACTCGCCGCAGTGTCAGCCCCCTGCCCAGGATTCGGGATTCAGCATTGGCAGGGAATGACCATAGAAGAAAGATTTTACACCTCGCTGCTTGATTCTTAATATACTGCTAAGTAGATCTGCTTGAATCTACTAATAAGGGTATTAAGTAAACAAACTTTTATTTGGGGCAGAAAAGTTTTCGAGTGGCGATCAGGGCAGGACATCAGCCAGGCCGGCCAGGCCTCCCACTAGGTGGATAGTAGGTCTGGTGAAGGTCGTAGGAAGTAGGTACCTGGATGCGGGCAGCGCATTACCATTACAATAAAATGTGGTATATCAGTATAGACTATAATCCGGGCGTTTTCAAGGCGAGAGTGAATAGGCACTTACAGGGCAGTTAAGTACCATCCTAGACTGCATCCCACTTAACATCAGGTGCGATTGTGGTCAAATATCTGCCTTGTTATGCATAAAAAAAGTAAATCCTTGGCAACCCTGCGTGCACATTATGCGTGGTTGGGTGTAGTATTACAAGGCACGTACTTTCCTAGTTGTAAACTAGTAGGATACTAGCGGCCAGGCTTATAAATATTGAGTTAATTACGATACGATACTAAACTTTTTGGCCACCGGTAGAGCTACCTGCTGACATGACAGTTTTAGCATTGCTGTCGTTATATCATTATAAGTTATTATTAGTATTAGAAATTAAACATCTTTACATCAGAGTCCACCTAAATAGGCAATGGATCATCGTCTTCGTATAATTATTATTCTGAGCAACATGTTTCTCTTCCCCTCTCTTCAAAGCTTTTGACTTTTTAATGACTGGTCCATCCCTGCCTGAATTATTCTTGTAAAGTACTTATTTATACCAACCACTCTTTTAATTAGGTGCTTCATTGTTCATGTAAACCGATAAGGGTCAAATTGATCCAATTTCAGGTTCGGTTCCTGAAACCCTGAAACCATGCAAAAAATTTGATGGCAAAAGCGTAGCACCACGCAGTGATTCTGCAATGTCAAATCAAATGTGCAATCTTAAGCATCCAAAAGATTGACGATTGTATGGTAAGAGTAGATAAAGAAAATAACAAAACTGATCTCCTAACTAAAATCTTGCAACTTTTTAACTCTATCTTTTACAATCTGTGCCTGTCAAACTTTTGGCGCGAAACATGACGTATCCGTCGTAAATAATTTTGGCAAGCAAAGGCATTCGTTGCGTGCAGCCGGGGTCGACGGCCGCGCCCGCGCCTTGACCGCGGTGAAAGTACTCGATGTCAGGGATCGCAGTCGCACTTAGTGTTGCCAGATAATTATCGCGCGAGATCCACTCGCCTTATGTAACAGTGATAGTAAAACAAACAGTGAATGTTGAATCGAAAGGTACTTAATGTGTTCTGGAAGATCTTTAATTAAACGAGATCTGAAAGTAGATTTACCAGTCTAGTCACAAAAAAAGAAGCCAGTCTTTATCTAGATTAAACTCAGCTGTTTGTTTTTATTTGGAATGCTCTCGTTGGATGAAAGTGATGATGAATGGATGGAGCATTCTTACTCACTTAAGATTCGCTTGAGTCAGTAGACTTAATCTAGGCCAAAAAGAAGAAGAAAACAGAAGATTAGTTTCCTTGCAATCCACAAAAACGTAAAAGGAATGGTTTCGTTTGTATCTAAGAAGGGATTGAATATATTTCTACAGATCATTCCAAAACGTCTTCCATTCCCAAAATGACTGCATGATTCATGCCAAAACATATAATTTAGCATTCCAACTATTTATTTCCAATCCCAATTAATGTATCAGTAAATTCAATTAACGTAAATGCGCCTATTACCGCCAGTTTAAGCTCACTTCGGATAAACGTTAGAAAATTAGATATAAGACGTGGGGATAGAAAAGAAACTTTAATTTATTTATAACAATGATGAAGTGATCTTTGAATTCAAGTAGTAACAATGAGTATTTAATCACGTAATAATTAATAAATAGCAATTTAATCTGAAAAAGCAGTTGTTTCTATTACCGACCTATAGACGAGGTGTGTTTCTATTAACGTTTTTTCTGTTTCTATTACCGACCGCTAAGAATATTGCTCTTCAATTGGATATATTCCAAGACACACGGGTTCGATTCCCGCTCAGAGGCTCGGGAACCACTTGATTTTTTCAAGTTAAATTTGTTTTGCTTTTGAATTCCAGTATCATTAAAAGAGAAAGGGCACGCTTCTCGAAAATAAATAAATAATCAAGCAGAAATAGTAAAATAATAAATTCTTCTATTATACTTGATTTTTCGGTACCCTGTGTTCTAGTGATTAGTGGGGGTCGTTATTTAAACTTTATTTGTGTTTTAATTTAATTTTAATTTAATATTTTATTTTTATTTTTAATTTTACTATAATTTTTAATTAGTTTTTGACTTATGTTTTTGATTTTAATTGTGTGTAATTGTGTATTTTAATTTAAACTTTGGACAATTGGACACTGTCTGTATAATTATTTTAAATTATTTTTTTTTATTCAAAGGATCTTAAAAAGTTACATAGTTGTTGTGATAACGCATGATTGGTTTGGTGTCATGTCATAAATGTTAGTTATATACAAAATACAGGCTTATAAGTCTTCGCAGGTGGCGTTATAGTTATGAGACGGTAATAGAATTAAGTATGAATATTACTTGATTCTATTAGCGACCGTAAAAAAAAACAGTAACCAGCTAAAATATCTACTTTAATGAAGACGTGATCAGTGAAGTATCATTTCTATTAGGTTTTATTTTATATCAAATAGATACTAATTAGAATTTAACAGGTTTTTATAAAATCTACTGTCATACGTTATTAGAGATATTATTTAATGTTCATTGCAGTTTTATGCCAAACCTATGACAATAAACGTATGGCGTTAATTGATTTAATTATGTGAAATATTCATAAGAATCGATCTAGACAAAAAAATCGAGGTTAAATGCGTAATTAAATATATAAATACTAAAATAAAAAAACGTTATCAAAATTCTAACAACGCCATGGGTCGTTATTAGGAACCAAATTATGAAAAGTGTTTCTATTACCGCCCTTATTTAAAATTGTATTTAAGCTACAAAAATACAGCGAGAGGGCTATGTTGAGGGTTTATTAAGGAAACTAAAGTACGAATTAATATTATTATGCAAAAACATATTGGTACACTCATTTTGAATGTGTTAAAATCGCTAATTAATAACAAGGTGCACCTTAAGTAGCTGGGAGCGCGTCAGTATGAAAAGTGCGTCCGTTGCGGGCGCGTCTCGTTTAATGTCAAATAACTCCATTTACTGGTTATTTACGAACACAAACTTTAATCGTTTTGATAGTCAATAAACATATCTAGATATTTTTTAGCTAACATGTTTTCTGGAACCTGTTATTATGTCTTTTATGAAAGAAAGAAAAATAGGGCGGTAATAGGATACAAATTTTGGGGGGTCGTTAATAGGCGCACTTACGTTACCGATCAATTTGTCACCGAACAACGAATGCGACTTAATTGCTTCAACACGCGCACGAATGTGGAGCATGCGTGTGCGCAGATTTTATTCGCATTATAAATATTTACGCAGTTCCAAAAATACATCAGTGTCATGGTCAAGTGTTTTATTTTTGGACATTTTAATAAGCGACTGCAGGATCACTCACGCGTGATGATCTAATTTATATTATGTGGTGGTTAATGGCTGAAATTGATGATGATTGCACTGCAGAAGACGAAAGAAATAAGACGAGTCAAGTAATTAGTGAATCTTTGGTATAGCGGTATGGTAAGAAAGAAAGAGGAATAGAAAAGAAAGTCGAATAAAGTACCCTAGAAGATAAGATAAAGCTGGGTGGAGAGAGAACACAGAAATCTTCGTAAGTTTTATAAGGTATTTTATATTTGTATTAGTTATATCTACAAAATCAACAACAATTACACAATAGTCAACAACGATTGCAACAACAGCAACAATAACAACAAACCTGTACTGACACACAATAAATATCACAAGTCAACAATAGTCAATACTGACGGAAATACATCTCCGACAAATGTACTTACTAATCTTAATTATTTACAAGGGCTAGGCCCGGCCTGAGCACACCTCAGAGGTATACGAAAGGCTTACAAAGTAAGCTATTTTCTTTGTACATTTCACAAATCGGCAAAAGAAATTTGACATCTGGCAGAATAGAAGATTCCATGGCCATAAAAAAGTAAAAAGCGTTGACTGACAGCCTATGTCAAATCTCATCTGACGAAATGCACGTTCCGTTCTACGTGACTGAATGCTTAGTGCTTGCCGCCTTTGTGGTGGTAGATGTGCTTGTAGACTGGCACGTGGACGGGGTAAGGCTTGGGAATGGGCACCTCAACCTTCTTCTCGACCTCGACGGGGTAAGGCTTCTCGACCTCATAGGGGACGGGCTTCTCAACTGTGTAAGGCACTGGCTTCTCTACGATTTGTGGGACAACCTGGAATAGAGAATTTTGAATTAGAAATCGGAATAAGTATTTCACAAAATTAACAACAAAGTCATTGCTAGTGTGTTGGGAATTTGGAATAGGAGTGATTTTCTTGATGCATTTGTTTTAATGTAAGAATAAAAATAAAGTGTCAACGTAAAAAAAAGAGCGAGAAAAAGTTTTTTTCTAAACGCGTGTGGCTTTTTGCTTTCGATGGCCAGTTAGATTACATAATGGTTGACATAAATGGAGTCACGGATCGCTCGATCGCTGGTAAAAACTAGAAGACAATGGGCATGATACAATCAGAGGCATTGTGTTCTCTAATGGAAAATTGCTAGGTTTCACTTAGCGATGAAAAGTGTGTGGCTGGAGAGTGTAATGAAAGGTAAAGGCGAAAGAAACTAAGGCAAAACGAAATGTGCTAAACCTACGATTAAGCTAAATATATCTTTGAAGTAACACACTATACTTATAATCCCAAGTTAAACGTTGTTTTCAACTAATACGATGTTGAAAAGCAATTACTAACGAAATTAAAAGTTGTTTATTCAGATTGTAGAGTATCTAAAGCAATACAATAACATAACCTTTTTTACAACTCTAATTCTCAAAGTTACTCAAAATTAAAAGGTAATTTTTAATTTTTAGTGTTATGTTACGAGTAATGACTATTTCTGGCTGTAATCTTTAGATCTCAAAATCTTGTTTCCTAATGTATTATCATCGTGTACGCTATCCTAAATTATCATTAAAAACATTAATGAGTTTAATTATCTGTTGAAAAGATCCTACTCAGATAAAGAGGCCATTTTTAAGTGAAATAAATTACGTGAAGTTGATTGAAACACACGTTTTAATAATCCGTGAACGTATTCGTATTTCGCTAGTTCACTAACAAAAAAATTAAATAAAAATAAGTAAGTTTTTGTTTTGAAAAAGATGGACTATCATGACATTGAATTAAAATCTTAGAACATTATTTTTTTAAACAAACATATTTTGAGTTACGATTGTCTTTTTAGCAAGATAATTAAATGCAAAACTAATGATTTTAAGCTGTTTTAATCTTCAATAATTGCGTTTCTAATCTCGTCGCCATTTCTATCATTAGCACTTGCACATGCGTCACATAGAAATCGAATCTTATGGTCTAGTAATCCAAACCAGTAAATGAAACGAGATCTCACTTTCGCTGGTAAAATTAAGTAAGACGTACTAATTTGCTACACCACTTAAAATGTCTCGTTAAGTGATATGTTTGTGCAAAGATTTATTATTATGTTTATCGATAGTTAATCTTTGAAGCTAGAAACTAGAATAGAACACTACGCTTTTTGGTGTCGCTACAACCAACTAGGTAATATGGGGTCACATTGGTGTCAGATTTTATGAGATATTAGCGTCTGATTTGACTCAATCCAACTGACGAGCCCTCATGCATGATATGATATTCTTTTTGGACTTAGTTTGTTGATCTCGCAATGACCATTCAAACTGAGATCAATTCTGAGAGATTTTTAAACGTGTCTATTTGGGAATCGAACACAGAACGTCTGAGTCTGAGTTGAGAGTCTCACTCTTTTCCTCTGGACCATGGAGGTTAATTTGTGTAGTTGTCCCCAGTTACTAGAAGTTCTGTGATTAGATTATAGCTCTATCATGACCTTTTTAGCACTATTAGTTCTATAAAAGCTGTATAAGAGTGTAAACTATAGCTTTAACCTGTGCTAATAACCTACTTAAGACTACCAGTTCTACAACAGCTGTATAAGTGCCCTTACCTTGTAAACAGGAACGTGGATCGGCTGCTCTACCGTCACGTGGACAGGGTAGGGCTGCGGGATCGGCACCTTCACGTACTGAGGCACGGACACCGCCACGGGATGCGGGATGGGCACTCCGATCTTCTTGACCACAGTCACGTGGTAGGGCTTTGTGTGCTCGGTGTGGGAGTGGCCTTCGGGCTCCCATTCGTCTGAGGGCCGGCCGTGGGCCAGGGCCGCTAGGAGGAGGATGGTTGCGGTCTTCTGGAAGGTGAATTGGGTGGAATTAGTGATGGAATTTATGAATGATGTGCAGTCAGCGTCAATTTCTTCGTGACACCCAGTGGCCAAAAGTTGACTACACAACAACTACTACTATTTCGGGTGTCACAAACTATTTGACGCTGGTATTTGCGATTCGGACTGGACTTCTAACTTGGTTTATAGGTGCGATGCCGGCTGTGATGATTTAATACTAAAAACATACATACAGCCGAACATAATATAACCTCCTCCTTTTTTGAAGTCGGTTAAAAATATGCTACTCTGGAATGTCGATATGGAGATTTTATAAAACAAAAAAGATGGGTTGCTCGAAGTAATTAGTTCTACACTGATAACGTCGTGTGCCAGTAACTTATAAGGAAAATGAATCACAAAAATAAAAGTCTTCGTATAAAAAACAAGTAGGTATCGGTCAAATGTGGGTCCAAATTATTCGTGATACTTTGTATGTAAACTTTTTGCCTGCCCACACTTTTTGTTCGCGAGTTTATTGACTCTACGAATTAGATCAAGATATTGTTTTATTTATTCCCTAATTAAGTTCGAGATATTCAATTCACTAAGGAAGTAATCACTATGTTAATGGCTACCATAGTTTAAAACTACAATAGATTTTACGAGCTCTAAAAGCAATAAAATTAAACATTAATTTTGATTTGAATATCATTTTTATGTATCGCCCCGAACGAGTAAAAATGGTATAAAGCAATTATTACCAAAAACGAGCGCAATAACCGTAAAAGTGACATTATCATTTGTATTTATAAACTGAACGTAATTCAACTGAATGATATCCAGTAATACTATTTTGCATTACAAATGTATATGCAAATCGGATTTAATAAATTTAACGTATTCTTGTACGTACAAGTTATTATAAAAGCTCTTGCCTTAATGACCGTCACAATTTACGGCTATTAAAGGTTTATTAAAGGAAGAAGTCTTATAAAGTTTAATACAAATCGAAAAGCTACTGTAAAATTATATTACAAGGAATTCTTTAGAGAAACACACATAAACTAGACAGTAAGGAATCGTTTGAGATAATAATTATCAATTAAGATCAGGATGTTATCAAAAAAATTGTAAACTAATTAATGGTAAATGTTTATATTATAGACCCAATTTAAGCTTCAATAAAAAACGGAAGAGTCATTGACTAAAATATGTCTACTATTACCGAAATTATGTCAACAACTTTCAAAAAAGAACAAAGCTGTCAGTTTCCGCTCCAATTGACGGTTACGTGTTTGACATATTTTTTAAAATATTATGTAAGTGACTTACAAAGGCGATCATGTTGTTCTGCTTGGGTGTTGTCGACGGCGATGTTGCGACTGTGCTGGTGGAGGGTATAACCACCATTTTATACTAAGCGAAATGCCTGCTGCACCTTTCCATTGAGCGATGGCATACCGGTACTGAGGCACTTTCTCTGCGGCTCTATACTACGCTGGAAACGCTTTGGCTCACATCCATTACTTGTTCACTGTGAAGTTCCTTAAAAATTCTCAGCAAAACTCATCGATCGTTCTAACGATTTGTATTGTATTGCAAGTGAATGTGATAGTGAATGGTTTTGCGGTAGAATTCGATTGTACTATTTGGGCTTCATAAGGAGAAGTTAATACCGTTTTTTGTTTTTATTTGATTTTGTCTAGATATGTGCGTGTGTTTTTTTTCTTGCAAGTTTTGAAGATGGAAAGTTGTGTGACAATTTAAAGAAGCATGGACTAATAATACAGTTGTTTCAATTATTATTTAATTAATCTTGTCTGAAATTGTTTTAAAGACACTTTTAATTTGGTTTTGAATTAATTAAAATTGATCAAAGTAGCGTGCTATTTTTAAGAAAGTCACAAAGTTTTTAATAAGTATGCCATCGTTCTGATTTCCAGGTTGCCGCTATATGGATTGGTTAAACTAGTAGGTTCCTAAGTCCCGAAATCATTTATTTATTTATAATAATGAAATAATGTTGGATATTAAGTTAAGTAAAAACACACAATAATGTAGAGCATGCGATAAATCTGGAGTTTTTTGAACTTAGGTAAAACCGATGTAAAGATGATCTGATCTTCCCCATGGGAAGTACATGCCTAGTATAAAAAAGGTATTAATATAGCAGTAAAAAAGATACACACCAAAATGTAATACGTTCTGATTTCGATTGAAAAATTAACAGATGATCGGATGCGTCCGATAATGCTTACTCAACCGCGACTAAAACGAAATTAATATCTTTTATTATTGGATTTCATGTCGCATACGAGTTCATTGAAACACTCTTCCCGATTGAAATTTAATAGTTTTTCCTTATACTTACGTAATAATCATGAAACGAAAGTTTAAAACAATAAAATTACAAAGACGAAAGCAAAAATTGCTGATTTTAAATTGTCACATTATTTTTATGTATTTTTTTAATGCCGTAAAATCTTTATGATTGTGATCGGAATACTGTGTTTAATAATTAGGCTCAGATTAAAGGATTTTCATGCTTACTTACATAAGTGTCCACCTAAATGTTAACACATAGCAGCATAGGAGGTACTTGTAGATGTATTACGTAGTACATTGAATGAAAAATAAATGCAAAGTCATCAACCTTTGAAGTTGAACTCTATCTTCAATCTACGAACTTACCTACCATAAAATGTAAATTTTCCTCAACCGATATTAAATCTTATTCCCTATCCCTACCGAAGAAAGTTCAAAGCCATTGGGAAAATTCGTTATTTTATGAGTGTCATCCACGCTTTATATCGTATGCGCACAGCCTTAGTCAAATAAATGTTTACTTTAACAACAACTTTGATCTAGTAAACTTTACTAGACCAAAATTAGTAGTAGTTGTTCAACTAAGGAAGTGTGAGTAAACCAGTTTAAAAAGATATAAATAGAAGAACTGTAGAGCTAGACATAATTAACTTAATCTACATTAGTTAAAACTTAGTTTTCAAGATTGTCTTGATGACGTAAGATAAATTATCTTCAATGCAAAATATGGACTAAGTACTTTTTCGAGCTTGGTTTTGAACGCTTGATTCACCTCAGTAGCTACAATTAATGGGTCACCGGTCACCCAAAGGGCGATTCGTGATTAACTCGGATATGAGGAGATCCGCAGGAGAATCAAACTGTCCGACATAACCCGCAAAATTGCTAAAATCAAGTGGCAGTTGGCGGAACAGCGGAGGAGCTCGTAGAGATGATGACCGCTGGGAAACCAAAGTTCTAGAGTGGCGACCACGGGCCGAAAGACGTAGTGTGGATGCCGGCAGTCTGGGAAGTCCTTGGGGGAGGCCTTTGTCGAGCAGTGGACGCCATTTTGAAACGATTAATCTCATCTATCTTACGCTTGCCTCTGTTGTTATTAACTGCTTGTTTAGGATTCAAACTGCCAACCTCATTGACCGAAGCGTCCACCAGTCCAGCTGTCATAATAAATGTACACGACAAAGAGTCATCAAGTGACATCAACCACATGTTATTACGAGTGTGGGTTACGAGAGCGTCCATCGTATTCGCATTTCCGAGTTTCGTCATGAGCTAAATGTCTACGCAATCTTCTGTGTATTAAAATGTAGGTTTGTGTTGGTAGTGCACTAGAGAACGACTGGATCAAATTTGGTTGTTCTTATTAGAAAATAATGTCTTTTTTACTGAGATTTTTTGAACTTTAAATGAAAATCGCAAGGAAAATGAGATTGCGAATGGAGGAGTAGAGTCCTTTACAATTAGTTTGGCATGACATAATATTATTATTTTGCATGATAATATGACATTACGGTATAAACATCATACGGTAAATTAGAATCATAAAATATTAAAGTTTGGAAAAGACAATGTCTCGTATTTCAGCTACAAAAAATTATAAGGGCATAGAAAATGACCTAATAAGCTACTTGATTTTAGTATGTATATTACAGTCCTGCTTTGAAGACAAATGTATGGGAGAGTCATGGAGTGGGACTGAGTTTGCATAACCTCACTGACATTTCAGTTTTGTACGAGGAGTTAGGACCAAACTCCTTAAAATCTATGCTTGCTTGAAACTGAATTGAATCAAGTATAGAGCTTCAACGCGGTCATTTATTCATCATTTGGAGAGGCCTATATTTTGCAGTGGACGTCCTATGGCTGAAATCATGATGATGATAGAGCTTCAAAGTAATACGCACACAGCACCTTAGTACAGAGTAAATACAAATGAGTAGGTCATCTTCATAGAAACGCACCGAGCGCGGTTTGTATGTGAGCGCGCGCCAATCCGTATGCGGCGCGCACGCACACACTGACAAAATTTGGGGCAACTCACCGCTAATCAACGCTAAATTTTGTCAGTGTGTGCGTGCGCGCCGCATACGTATTGGCGCGCTNTACAGAGTAAATACAAATGAGTAGGTCATCTTCATAGAAACGCACCGAGCGCGGTTTGTATGTGAGCGCGCGCCAATCCGTATGCGGCGCGCTCACATACAAACCCCGCTCGGGCGTTTCTATGAAGATGACCTACTCATTTGTATTTACTCTGTTAGTATCAAATGAATGAATCTTACGAACACCTGTTACGAGAACTTGTGGGACGAAGAGAATGGCATCGCAGCGCGCGCGCAGCGTCAATCGAGGACCGCGGGCGATGGAACTGCGGTTTGGGAATTCATGTTATGCACACAAAATATTATCATTACATATTGCCAAAATGTAGGCTGTCAGATTGGGACTAAGACAATGAGCAATTTTAATAATACTTATCTTTGTCGAATTTAGCATGAAAATGAAAATACCTTTATTCAATAAACACTTTACAATTACAAAATACGTATGTGTGTGACGCTCTCGTATAAGGTTAACCTGTGTAACGAGAGTCAGGCTCCTCCTCAAAAACATAGACTAAATCAGTGTTTAGAGTGAATTTTATCTTTTAATATAGAATAGCTTTTATAAAATTATTATATTTAAATAGTGTCCAGCTTTTTAGCCGATTAATTGCTCTTTATCGGACTCTATTAGTACTAAATTACTTTTCTCGATTCCCATCCCTAGGGATCCTATCTTAGGTTCTCTGTATTTTTAAGGTGAGAGATCAATTGTATTTAACGTTTTGAAAATAAAATAATGACGATACTCACGTCAATTTCAAATACTGACTGACATTAGTTAATAATACGGTAGTTTCCCTTAACTAGCCCAAATCAATCAACACAAATAAACTAACAAAAAACGAAGACAAACTGCAGTTCTGGGAGGTCTAAAACTAATGGTTGATGACCATTATAAACTTAGAAGCTAATTAGAAGTGACGAATGATGTGTCATTTGTATTTAGAGACTTGATTACTATAGGTACAGTCAGATACAAATAGTTCGTAACACCCAAAGTGGCGTCTTTGTTACAATGAGGGCTATCGTTTTTATACTTAACAGTTGGCACCCCTGGCGATTGACAGGAGCTTACTCTACAGTGGCGCCATCTTGATGAGTGCAAATGCGATAGGCCTCCTACCACTTTAGCGCTCACAAGTTGGCGCCACTGTCTTCGCTACTAGCAAGTGACAGGACCTTACTCTACAGTGGCGCTAACTGGTGAGCGCTAAAACGATAGCCCTCATTGGAATAAGGTTGTGTTGTCACCTCATTTGGGTGTCACGAACTGAACGACTGTAATATAATACCTTGTGTTAGGCTTAGATGTTAGGTAAGGATTATTATTGTCTGAATTCAAAGTTTATTAAAACACTAGCAGTGCCCGCGACTTCGTACGCGTGAAAATCTTTTTGCTCTGCACCTATTACTCGTAGCGTGATGGTATATAGCCTATAGCCTTCCTCAATAAATGGGCTATCTAAGACTGAAATATTTTTTAAAATCGGACTGGTAGTTTTTGAGATTAGCGCGTTCAAGTAAACAAACAAACAAACTCTTCAGCTTTATAATATTAGTATAGATTAATTAACGAGTTCCGACAAGACTGAATAAATAATTTATAAACTGCTCAATATTTATTTTTCATTTTATAATACTTACATAAAATATGCTTTTCAGGCTGAAAACTTGGTTTTTGGGCTCATCACTGAATAGATATTAGTACCTAAGAAGTGCATACTTTATACCTTTGTAACTTTTCAAATGAAATCAATAATGCTACGAACATTACCTATCAACAAAATTGTGTACAAAAAATGTTGATTGTTGACATGTTTTTGTTGATTATGTAGGGCAAAACACGCTGGAGACCCGGCTTATGATTCTCTCCCTGATGGGTTCGATCCTCCAACCGCTTCTAACGTTACAGTCCAGCAAGTACAGATACATCACACCAACTGTCCCCAAATCGACTGGCCATAAAGTGCGCTCATTTGCATGTGCCACAGACGGCACGAGC